TTTAAGATTTTATTAAAAAAATTAAAATTTTAAAAAAGTTTGCAGGCAAATTTGCCTGCAATACAAATTAAGAGATAGGTGCGTTTTATTTTTATTTTTTTTAATATTAGAATGTAGCACCTGCTTAGACTTTTATTAAGTTGATATATAGTAGTGTCAAAATACATATCAGAACTAGATACATCTCTCCCCAACTGCCAATTAGTATTCACATGTCTACCACTTTACCCACATACCTAATATCTTAACTTCCAAATTGGTATATACCAGGTAGGTGCTTATTGCTCCCAGTTTGGTATATTTAATTCCAACTAGCATACTTTTAGAAGTTTATATTTCAAGCTATACAGCTGCCTCTACTTAATTAAATAAATATCTCAAGCCTACATGCTGCTATAACTAGCTAGTTTTTTGTGACTTTGGAACCCAGGTCTTAATATTTCGAATTTAGTAAGAGGGCATCTATAATTTACATTAAACCAGTATTGTTATAGAGATCTTAAAGATAATACTATATAGTATTATTTTCAAGGTTTCTATTTCTATACAATACAGTACTGGTTTAATGTAAATTATAGATGCTTTCTAATGAGCGAATAACTGTACTTCCTAAAATGGTGACAAGGCTGCCTAAACATGTTTTGCAAATGCTTCTAGTACCTGATATAGTTGGATGAAATTATGAGACCTAGAGGGTTTTAACAAATGCATTATTGTTTCTATTTATGATAATTCTCAGCAATTGTAGCCCCTAGTTATTACTATATTTACTTATACCAGCTATACCTGTATTGGTAGTCCCGAGTCCTCTTAATATTTGAAAACTTTTATATGAGTATGATCAAAGTCTATTAGGTTTATCATCATATACATTTTAACTTCTTATTAGCCAGTAAGTTCTATATGTGCCAGAGGTGTTTCAAATTCAGTAACCCCAATTTTTTATTACAGGTCCCTTTGTGTTTACTACATTCCTCACTACTTTTAATTCTGGTTACTGTCTGTTCATCCTTCCAAACAAGATTCCCAATACCGCCTTAAGGGCTGTTGGTGCTACCTTGCTAATCGCAAATTTACATATACAATTTTTGATAATAGAATCTTCCATAACAACCAACATTACACATAGTGCCAACTACTCCACAATAGATCTCTTTTTAAAATTTCTAATCCAGACTTGTATTTACTTGAACTTTCTACAGTAAATACTTCCAAATATTCATAAATAAATATACCTACTAGGACTTGAACCCGAAATTCACTTGTGGAGGATTAGGTGTCTAAACCACTAGGCTGTAGAATCTCAACCTTCTATAAATGTGTTTTATAATAATTTTATATTTATATATATGGCAAAAAAGTTTTTTTATTAAAGTTTGTTTCATAGACAATTTTAAAATATAAATAGTTTTTTAAAAAATTCATTGTTTTTGTTGTACAAAATTGATTTACATGTTATAGTGTTACAAGCCATAAGGTTTTTATCAGCTAGCTAAGCCAGCCAATAAAAAAATTGGCATAGCGGCTGCTAATGGCTAAACTAAACAACAAAAATCTTACTTCAGAAAATATTGAAAATTACTCTAATTTTTTTTCTCAACCTTGCTTGTCTTTGATATTGGTTCTTTTTTTTTTTGGAAACTTTTGAATCCTTGCTTTCTGTTATTTAATTCTGCTTGACATTATTGTTCTGGCCTAAATTATACTACCAAAATCATGTAATCTTAAGCCACATTAGCCAGCCGATCATATTACATCGGCTAGCTTAGCCGGTTAAGCTGCCTTAGCCACGGCTGCCCTAGTTGGCTTGTAACACTAACATGTTATACCTGATCCCGAACTTTAATTAAAAAATTTAGATAAAACTAAACAGTGCCCCCATGTATTTTGTGCTCTCTAGCAAAAATTTAGCCTATAATAAAAATTAAAATTAGATACAAAAATGTGTAAAATTGCAAAAGGAACATTTTTGCTTAGTTACACAACAGGGTTACCCTAGTAAAATTTTGAAATATTGGTGATTTTATAATTTTAGGTTAGGGTTAGATTAGAGTTAGATTAAGGTTAGATTAGGGTTAGAATTTAGATTTAAAGTAGCGTAAAATTGTAAGAGGAACATTTTTGCTTAGTCGCAAAACAGGGTTACCCTGGTAAAATTTTGAGATATTATCGATTTTATGATAGGGTGGCACAAAGTGCATGAGGCAGTCCAGTCCAAAAATTTTATTAAAAATAATTTGTTTTTTTTCTAAAATAATTTTAATATAAAAATTTTATTATTACTTTAGCTTCATTACTTTAAAAATTCTTATATATATTATAAAACAAAACATACTAAAATTAGTATTTTAAAGTTTAGCTAAACAAAATAAAAGCAATAGATACAACATATCCAGACAACTATAAAAAAAAGCCATATTTTATATAGAATTTACAAATAAAGCATTCAAAGAAACAGATATAATCTTCACTACAAATATAAACAAAGCTTTTAATCATTCAACTCTTCCCAAGATGCTTGAACATTCTTTCGTTTTTTAAGACTATTATTAATAGATTTGTTCAATGTTATGGGATTACTTTTGTCAGTGCTTGCATGCAAAATCGCCGAATCAAAAGTTGAAATCGACGTGGATATAGATGATTTGTCGTAATCTGAAGGTGAAGAGTTAGCAGATACAACGGTCGAAGATGAAGACGGTGAATCCGGAATACTCAATTGAATAATGGTTTGATCCATTGGATCCTCGTGATATTCTGCCAGTCGTCGCAGGCTTTTCTCTACCAATTTCACCTGAGTTAAACTCGATTCTCGAAATTTTACAGGATCATTTTCATGCCGCTTCGGGTAAACCTTTTAACATAAAAAACATAATTATAAATAAAATACAAATTGCTAAAACATACTATGTATATATTAATTGATGCTTTACTGGCGTTTTTTTATAAGAATGTTTGCTTGGGAAAGGAGGCATATACAATGGTACGTAATTCGGCCGAAATGTATGAGTCGATGACGTAAATGAATTTCTCTGTCGTTTGTTATTATGTGATCCGTCGAAGCTCTCCTCTTCACCTTCCAATATTATGTCTTCGGGTACGAATACAGTCGATGATTCTATAGCTGATGACGTAGGCTGTAATGATGATAAGAATTTTGAAGCAAAAGCGTGATAACTTTCCTTCGCTGCCAAATTCCAGCATAATTAAAAATATTTAGCGAGTAAGATCAATCGCACAGCATTCTTTGCAAGAATTGAAATTGTCAGTCATGTATTAATTTAAATAAAACACATTACATCATGTTACCTCGACACTTTTCCATATGATCTTCAAGCGCACCCGTTCTGACGCTCCAATCTTTAAGACTTTTTTCCACATCATTAATATTTGGTTGCGCTCTACACGCAAGCTCGGCATAAGCTCGTGAAGTTTTGATAATATTGCCAAGGTCTACAATAAATTTAATGGAACAATTCGCTTGTTATTTAAGATCTATTCGAATTTCATTTCATAAGACAACGGTATAATAATTACATAAGCCAAGTAAATTCCCTAACGCTTCATATGCAGAGGGGGTAACGCTGGTAAAACCTGCTTCGCGAGCAAAAAATGCACCAATTCTTCTGTCTATTTCGTTTGAAACCCAAGGCTCAAGGGAGGTTGAAACAGGTAGATCATGATTCAATTTTTTTTGTTCCTGAGTATCACCCATGAAGTATGATTATCATACTTGCTTAACGTTTAATGAAGGAGCCATGATAACTCTCTCGTGATTGGTTAATCACATGAAATTTATGATTGGTCACAAAAAAGCACCGGCACTGCACATTAGTCCCCAAATTCAAGTTTTGGGGACAACCAAAAAAAAAACTATTGGCCATTATAATGAGCCAAAATTACTATTAACAGTTTTAAGAAATAATTAACCGTAATGCGGGCCAAAAACTATAAGATCGGCAAACGGTTCGCACCTCTAGTATTAGCAGTCAAATGACTTTACGGGACTATGTAGATTTTATGAATAAAAATTAAAATTTCTAGCTATCCAGTAATCCAATTCAAAATAACCTTTTTTTTATTTTACAATATATAAAAAAAAAATTGGATTATTAGATTAAAAATTTTAATTTTTATTCATAAAATCTACATAGTCCCGTAAGGTCATTTTCAAGGCAAAGTTTTGGGGCACGGGGCGTGATGCTAATATTTTAGTTATTTTCACGTGATGGTTTAGCGTCACGCCCATGCCCAATGTTATGATTTTCGAAATTTAATTCAGGACCTTTAATTGGGTAGGTATTCTGATTGGTTGTTTTGGTGATTGGTTTCGGACAAGCACCAGATGTCTGTAGAGTTTGGAACCGGGTTTAATCGGTTTTAGCATATGAAAAATAAAACCGGTTCCGAGCTCTGCACATAAAAAATTTTTTGCATGTGCGCTTTGCACGGTAATATAAATCACATTCCGCGCATTGGATCAAATCTGCTTTTTTTAACTTTCTTAACCATGTCAGAAATGGATTTTGACTTAGACACTGATCTTGATTTAGATAAAGGCAAAGGTAGAGAAAATTTAGTAGAATCACCACAACAAGTAGCAGAAGAATCAGTATCTGGCGATGAAACAGCTATTGGTGAATATGCACAAGAATCCAATAGTGATGAGGACGACGATGAAGCAGAGGGTGGTTCAAGCGTAACTGATAACAATGCAGAACTTGGGAGGAAAGAAGAAGAATTCTTGAGAAAAGATCGCTCTTTACTGGAATTTCTGTTATTGTTAGATAATTTTGAACCTCTTGTGAGAATAATAAAACTTTAATGCTTTTTTCAATATATTACTTTAATTACTAACATATCCTTTGGGATTTTTAAGATTCCGGAATTTGTAACTGAGTATTATCTCAACAGATCAGGAATCCAATGCGATGACGTTCGAGTGTTGGTTTCGTAATACTGCTATTTTTACTACAGGCTCAACATTTTCAATTATATTTACTCGTTCTTTCGTGCCTTTCCAATTTAAAGAATGCGTCTCATGTCATTAGCCGCTCAAAAATTTGTTGCTGATATCGCTACAGATGCATTTCAATATTGCAAGATTCGCCAACAAAGTAAAAAGAATGTTGGAAAGGTATTCGAATTAAAATGCGTTAAGGCGAATTAGAGTCAAAATAATTAGTTTTTTTTTTTTTCAAAAAAACAAAAAAAAATAAACAAATAAATAAACAAAAAAATAATAATAAAACAATAGCAACGCAACAAAACCGTTCTTACATTGGAAGATCTTGCAGCAGCTTTATCCGAATACGGGATTAATATCAAGAAACCGGACTATTATCGCGCGTAATTTGTATACGGTCGACTCCCTATATACCGAATCCAACGAACTAGAACAAAGAACGCTTTTATTACACCGGATACACCAGTCTTTATGCATCGAATTTAATTTGGTCAGTACCTGTATATACCATTAAATATTCTCTTTATAAGAACCTTTTTCTAATGAACCCACTCTATAACGAACTTTTTTAAAAAATTTATTAGAGTTCGGTATAGAAACATAGCAAATTACTCTGTAAGGGAACTTCTAAAAATTTTTTTTGCTATAATAACTGTCAGTTCGTTATAAAATCGTTATAAAAAGAGCCGATTATATTAGAATCTATAAGATCGAATAAAGCTTAAATCTACTTTCAAAGATTTTTCATATATATACAGAGTGATCGAGATAACTAATATATATTGTTATTATTATTAAAGACTATTATGTGACTACTATTATTAATGAACATATTTAGCGAATTTTATTAATTTTTTTTTTAAATGTTTTAACATGAAACTTCTGAACATATTTTTAATGAAGTTACAAAATTATGATTTTAAAGTAATAAATAACCTTAAAGAAGTATAACAGATATAAAAAAAAATAAAATATCAACATAAACATAATGTGACCACGCAACCTTTTCCCGTAAATAATAATTATAAAATATTCCCTAAGTATTGTCCGCACAATTCCCGTGTCCCGGGAGTTAGACTAGTCACGGTGCTCCAATAAAACTGCCAAAAAACTGCCATGAAACGCGTGGTTTACAACTTGGAATGGCATCCCAAATTCAAAGTAAATTTACGTCTTTTCGTCATTTCAGCTCTTTTTAGTATTTTACCATTAATGACATCAACTTAAACCTCAAGCACCTAATCCCGGCGAAGTAACTGTTGCGGAGATTGATGGGCGACTATGTAAGACGTGTTAAAATAAAGGGTTTAGTCGTTTTAAAGTTAACAATATAACAATTCTTCTATAGTACAGTTGAAAAAGGCTTCGGATCCCAACATTGAAGTTTATGTTCGCGCTGAAGTAAGTAATGCAAACGATTGTTATAATTTTTGTGAAATTAATAACGTTTATTCTTATTTATAGGGTGTGCTGTTTCCACAGCTACAAATTCCGAACGATCTCAAAAGCCCGGAAACACTTCATCAGAGTAGACGAGTGATTGTTCAAAATTTACCGCCGCGAAATGTTTTGAGTAAGACTGCTCAGAAAATCAAAGATTTTGTTGGGTATGTAATTTCACGTTTTCGATGTTTATTAGTCTACAAATGATCTTATCTGTTTCTTCCACAGTTGCCAATTCAAATATGCAAAAGCTGTTATTGGCGATTTTGCTAGAATAATTACCGACATTCTTCCAAACTATTTGTCTAATTCAATTTTTGATGTGGATACTATTCGTCATATGCAATCATTATGCAATATAAAAAATCAGTATCCGTCAAAAATACTTGCGTGGCATCCGTATATTTCACTCTTTGCAGTAGCACACAATGTGGATGTAGTTTTCTTATATGATTTACGTGTGGAAGGTGTGCACTACTATGATTAATGGGCTTAATTATAAGATATTAAGTTTTCACGTTACATTTAACCTCATTAAAATAATATAACTCATAGCCTGGTTTCCAGAAGCATTAGAAACAACTTTACAAAAAGAAATCACATGCATGGCTTGGAAACCTTTAGGTGGAAATATCTTGGCTGTCGGATGCCGGTAAGTAATTGTATATATTATTGTCACGGATGATCATGAAATCGGATGATGGTGAAATTTGGACCTAATTTAATATGAAATTTTAGAATTTTTTAAGGTGTATTTTCCTAGTTTTTTTTTAGTGATAGGTTAGAATTTAAGGTTAGAGTTGCTTAGAAAAGAGTATAAATAGATTTCAGTAGGGTTTATATTTTCAAAAGGAGACCCCAAATTTCACCATCATCCGATTTCACGATCATCCGCGACATTATTTAAAGTGTTTGTTAAACTATTTTAATAACCTTCCATTATTCTGACTGCCTAAGGCGTGGAATTTGTTTGTGGGAGTTGACATTTAATCAGAAGAAAAGTTCTGGTGAATCATCATCATTCAACGCGTGGATGCGTTATCTTAATTGTCCTGGACATGAAAACATAGTGTCACTGGCCTGGCATCCCCATGGATAATATCCTGAAGTAAAATATTAATTCACATTTTACGCTTATCTCTCGTTATTTGTGCCTTAACGTACGACATAACCTCATTAGCAACAGGTTCATCTGATGGATCAATCATACTTTGGAACACTTCGTTCGGAAACGGCACAGTTTTAACAACAAGACACAAGGTTGTGTTTCTGAGTTGGAGCCCAGTGGGAGAATTTTTATTTTCATCATTTCTGTAAGATTTGGTTTTTTGTATTTATTCTTCAAATAGATTCCCTTCCCTTTAATCTTTATTTTATTTCGCGTCTATAGAGATGGTAGAATTGAAGTATATGAAACACAACGATGGACATCTAAAGCTATTAATACTTCTTCACAGATTTCTTCGCGGCGACCGGTTCAAGTACGTGTAAAACTCAGTATTGTGAAATTTAAATGATTATTAAGACTTAAGTTCTGTTATTGTTTATTAGACTGCATGTTGGACGGCAGATGGTCGTGCTTTGTTCCTATCATTTTGTGAGGACCAATATATTCGTTGTCTCTCGATATCGCCAAATCTAGACGGCGAATGGTTTCCTAAGGAAGATATGTCATATATCCCGAACTGGTATGTTAAATCTCAAGATTTTACGTCACGCTATATAATTAATCTAACGATTATTATTTGTCAGTGCTGGAAGAACCATCGAGCAACTAGCTATTGATCCAACTGGTGAACGACTTGCCGTATGTTTCAAAGATACAGAGTTGCTAGTGGTCTTTCATGCGAAGAGGCCGACACAAGTCTCTAGAGGTTCTAGTCTTTTGAGTGCTCAAGGTATCGTTCGAGGACCATCTTGGAATGACCCTTCTGATCCAGGAGCATGTGTAACACGAAATAATCCCAAAGCTGTTTCTATAAATTTTGCGCACCAATTCACTAGAGGAGCATTATTGAGTTTGGTTTGTATAAATATATTATGCATTTGCGATAGGTTATTAGGGTAGTTTACTGACACTGTTTATTTGAAGGTGTGGGAAGATGGTCAAATATCTTTTTTGCCATTTCTTTTTCGTCCTATTGGTAAGTGAACTATAGCTTCTAAAAAATGTATTTGGCTAGTAAAGCTTTGTCCTGCTACCATGAATTTAGTGCATTATTACTACATGAGTATATAAGAGTTGTTTTAATAAAGCATATGTTGTAAAAATTGAATTGTTCAAATGGCATATATATAGTAGTATATATCATTTTGGAATTTTTTATAAAAATTAATTTAAACAAAATTTATTTAGAATATAAGTCACACGATTTGTCACATGTAAATTTTTTTATATAAAATTATAAAAAAAACATATAAAATTACTATAAACTTTGATTCCGTGATGTTTCTTCGCCTACATATTAATTTAAAATTAAATTGTACGACAATATGTAACACGAAATAGCGAACAAATTTAGCATAAAAATTGAATTAAAATTTTGTAAATTTTGCAGATTTTAAATATAAAACTCTATTAAAATTAAATATTTACTGGTTTTAGAAGAGTTATATGTAAATTTTATGCTAAACAAGGTTTTTCTAATTAACAAAATAGGTTATCTTAGTAAAAAATAAGTTGTTTTTTTTTGAATCAATTTGCAATCATGCCAATACTTTATTAGGCTTGAACCAACTACTCTATTTCATATCTATTTCATTTTATTCGTGAGTTGTATGGGACTTGCCATACTATCTGACCTAAGTAACAAGTATTGACTAACCCAACTCCTTATGACCAAAGTTCAATTTGTCCATGTTCAATCTGCTATAGTAAAATTTTTCCTCTATACTATTTTTCCTGCTATTAAAAAAACCAATATTTTACCAGAAGGTATTTATATTCCTAAACTCATCATGATTGCCTCCTCTTTTCTTAATCCTAAACTTTCTTTTCCTAACTTCCCAAATAAAAAGAAAAATTTTTAACTACTATACAAAAAAACTTTAAGATTAAAGAAAAAAAAAAAAGAAAGTCAATTTTTTAAAACTTTTTTTGATGATCACTTGTACCAAATTTCTGACTAAAGAAAAAACCAAACATTTGTTGGAGATAAGTCAAGGTCTTCTGTAGCAATTTTTATAAAGGTCAATCTTATTCTTGGAGAACTTCTTTTTATATTCGATATGCAAGCTGAAAGTATTATTATACAAAATAACTGGCAGGAGTGGTGTCTTTGTATAAAAAATTTTAGTGGAGGTTTGAAAAACAGCACACTTTGTTGATGAAGCTCTCTAGATAGTTTTCAAAGAAGATACAGGGGAACAAGAAGCAGGCAGTTTTTTTTTTTTATTAACTTTTCTTATAGTTTGTACAAGTGGTTTTTTGCTTATAGCCTATTTTTGCCTTCCTGCTGGTTTTTCAAAATTTTTAATAAAAGTAAGAATTTGGTTTACCCTTCAAAGATCAGCATTGTTTACCTTCCAAATTCAAAGTAATTTAGTGGCAGCATTTATGTGTTTTGTGTCTATCAACAGATATGATACTATTTTAAGAGGCAGGTTTCCAGATTTATATAGTGTTAACTATATAGCTTAAAAGAAATATTACATTAAAGCAAAGTTTTACAATCAAGATATACAATGAGGTTGCAATTGTATATAATTTTTTAGCTTAGCACAAGTTTATAATAGTGTATTTCTTTTTTTTTTTTTAGATATTATAGTTACTATCTACTACTTCTTAATAGAGGTAGTATTCTTGTTAGCCTGTTGGGCTTATCTCTTTGTTTTGTTTTTTTTTATATTCTCTGTTCCCTCTTTTTGTTTATTTTCTCTATAAATTTTTCTTTTCTTAATTTGTGTTTCTTTTGTTTATTTTCTATTCTCTTTTTTTTCTTGTTATATATTTCAGTATTGGCTGATACAGGAATTTTCTTTTTATACTTGATAAAAAAAGAATAAATGAAGAGATAGGCTTTAGACGGGCTGACAAGATCTTCTAACTTACATGTAGGTTGGTGTAACAAGTTGTAGTTAGGCATATTTATCGCAGCTAGGTAATGTTGAGCTTGCAATTGTTATACTTCTATATTTTTTACTCAACCTTTGTTTTATTAATAAAGTATTGAATTTGAGCTCTAGCAAAGCTGTCAAAGAGCAAAAAAAAAGAAAAAAGAAGTGCCTATATGAAAACTACAAAAAAAAATATCAAAAATATAAATGAAAGAAAGAAAAAAAAAGGCAGAAAAAAAAAAAAAAAATCTATAATAAATTCACTATTATAGCTCATGCCAAGCAAAAATAAAAATTATATAACAAATACAACATTTGTATATTCCTATTGTAAAGCTTTGTCTTAATGTTGAATTTTTCTTTCTGACTTTCCAATCAACTCTAGGTGATTTTATTTGAGCCTATTCTAATCTGTATCTTGCTACCACTGTCTGTAGACTCGTTCGTATCTTAAGCCACTTACTGCCACTATTAGGAGTTTTGTACTAGAGGTCCAGTTTTGTATAGTAGCTCTGTATTTCTAAAACACATAGTTGCATTCTACTAGACTGTCCAAATTTGGAAAGTAAACAATGTCAATCTTTTGAAAAGATAAGCCAAATTCCTACTTTTTGTTGAAAAATTTTAAAAGACTAACAGAGGGTAAAAATAAGTAAATAAGAGATTACTTGATCAAATAAAAAGAGTACGGTTTAAGAAATATATATATTTTGTTGTATTCTTTGTTTCACTTTATCCAAAGCAAAGATCTAGTAGCTTTGTTGACAAAGTAAACCAGAGGCTTCTTGGTATTTGTCTCTTCACCAAGATTTTTCATACAAGAGCACCACCTCTTGTTAGTTATCTTGTATAATAATACTTCTGGCTTGTATACCAAATATCACTTTAAAGAAGTCTTATAAAAAAAAAATGTTAATCTCTAGACAAATTACTATATAGGCTACAACTCTCAAACAAAATTATATTTTTTTTTAGTAGAAAATTTTGGTTCTAATGATTATTAAAAAGAGTTTTTGATTTTTATTTTGAGTAAAAAAATAAATTATTTATGTACTAATGTTAAAAAATATATATTTTTTATATAAAGCTTTTTTTTTTACTTAAATAATTTATTTTTTGCTTTTAAATACTATATAAATATTTAGTTTTAATAAAGTTTTATATTAAAAATTTACAAAATTTACAAAATTTTAATTTAATTTTTATACTAACTTTGTTTGCTATTTTTGTATTATATATTGTTGTACAATTTAATTTTAAATTAATAGATAGACAAAAAAATATTATAAAATCAAAGTTTATAGTAATTTTATATAATTTTTTTATAATTTTACTAGTTGTAAACTTATGCAATAATACATGGAACTAAAATTTATAAATTTAATTAATGATTTTCTAGTCAACTGAAGAATAAATATAGTCAGAGAATATAGCAAATAAGGGCAAATTAGAAAATCCAGTTCTAGAATGATCTGCACAGATTTGATTGGTTTTTGTACAATTTCTTACTAGCAGTTTTGGAAAATTTTTTACATGTTTTATTTATTGCTTAAAACTTCTAAATAAAAACATTAATAGATAGTAGAAAACATGTAGTTTAAATAATCCACAATAATCCACTCTAATTAACTTTTGTTAAAAAAGTAAATAATCTATTAAAAAAGTAAATAAGTTTTGGAATATTCTAGTTTGTATAATAATAAAATATTTTCTATTCAGTTGATTTGATTGGTTAGTGATCATTCTTGGATTGACATAAAGAAATTTCTGGAATTATTAGATCAGTGTTATATTACTATAAATAGTGTAATCGGCATTGTACATTTATAGTATATTCTCTAACTGAAATATAGTAAAACATAACTTAGTTTACTATATAGCCTGAATATGAAATTGCTCTAAAGTAAACTTTTTTTTGTACTAATTTAATTGATCTTGTTAATTAATTGAAAGTTGTAAAGCTCATCTTTGCAGTTTTAATAGTGGTTAAAGCATCAAAATCGACTTGGTGAGTGCCAAGATATCTTTAAAAAATGTTTCTTTTACTATATAAACTTTTTTGCAAATAATAGTATTGTTTGCAAAGAAGTTTACATAGTAAAAGAAACATTTTTTAAAGATATTTTAGCACCTACTAGGCTGATTTTGACACTTTAACCACTATTAGATATATTTTGATAAGTTTTAAAAAAGTCTCTTAAGTTAGAAAGATAATTAACTTAGTATAAAAAAACTTTTAAATGCATACATACCACATTCGGAACTCTCTAATTTTTATAAGTGATTTGAGTCATATTTTACTATAATTACTCTCTGGTTGACTGGTGGATCACCAATTAAAGCTTCTACATTCTTGTATAGCAATATTTTTAATATTACATATCAGACTTCACATACAACATTACAGATGAGATTCCAGTTTACTCTTTCTAATTCACTCGATTATCTAATTAAAAATTATGAATTTACTAATCAACTATTGTTTGGAGAGTCTTTAACTACTACTAATATTTTAGCAATATATAAAACTACTTTAAATAGAATATTAGAGAATTATGAAAATGACTTTAAAATAGAAAATATGCATTCTGAAATTGCCAAACAAATACCTATAGGTTGTAATATTTCATTACCAAGAATTCTGATACTAAAATCCAGTAATCTACTATCCTGCAATGATAATGTTCATGCAGCATATAAAATATATCACAATGACTTACCTCATAGTTGTGATAAATATCTATATATTGCATATGACTAGACAATTTTTGAAAGATTAATCTCTTATAAAAAAACTCATAATAATGTTTGACTCTTTTGGAATAGTAGCATATATCTAAAGACATGTTCTGTACTTTAATTATTATCTTTTCTGGATATGGAATATTTAACCTTGTGGCAACTCTTAGAGTACGATTTCTAGACAAGTTTGAGTATATAATAGATTACAAAACAACATGTCGTGTTTTAGAATTGATTTGGGTTTAAGTTGGGATTGCATTGTATCAGCATGTCAAAAGGGAAAATAAAACAATAAATAATATTTTAAGGGTATTGCTATTTGCACCATGATTAACACTAGTTGCACCATAGATT